GTTTTCTACATTTATCTCTATTAACGTATAATTCTAATTGTATTTTATATTAAATATAGAGTGCCTTTCCATCCATTGCAAGAACCCTTTACTCCGATCACAATCTCTATGAAAAGACATATTTCCATAAATATCCAAATTATTACTTCACTGGCGATGGTATTAATCATTTGAAGTTTGAATTTAAATCTCGTTTAATTGTAATTAAATATTTAACTACAGGTGCCGTTCGTGATAAAGAGGGCTATCTTTGGATTACTGGTCGCGTGGATGACATGATTAACAAATATTCTTTGCTTATATCTCCGGCCGAAGTGGAATCGGCTATTATGGGGTGCGATGCGGTCGCAGAAGTAGCAGCCGTTCCCACACCAGACCCCATCACTGGCGCTCATATTTGCTGTTTTGTTGTCTTAAAGCAAAACACTTGTTGCGATCAAATTGAGGCTATTGTTAAACAAAAAGGTCTGTTATTTTTGATTAAACTATTTTGTTGGCTATACTACCGATAGGTTTATAAAAATATAAATTTTGCAGTCAATGAGAGGATAGGCGTCGTTGCGATTCCCAAATACGTGTATTGTGTGAGAGCTCTGCCTAAGAATAAGACGGGAAAAACAATGCGAAGAATTTTGACACAAATTGCCAAAAATGATGACAATTTGGGTGATATTTCAACACTCGTTGATCCGCAAGTCATCGATGAAATTAAACTTATTTTTGCCAAATAATTAAATCTATTTAAAGGTACAATTACATAAATCTATTTACATTTTTATATTGTTTTATATTTAGAATTTTATATTTTTAATAATTTTATTGCGAAATATTTTTGGATTATAAATCAAATCTTATTATCGTACAGTAAGTTTTAAAATAAAGTTTGATTGTATGCTAAATAAAATCTATTTGTATAACTTATAATAGAGTTAATGTTTTTGATATTTTAGAGATTATTTCATATTCTTACAAATCATTTCTCATATCATTAGCCAATCTATTGGTCAATAGTATGAAACGAATGAAAAGTGCAAAAACCTATTACGAGAGAGAAAAATAATAGTTGTTATGAAAATAGTTTATAAAATATTGATACGAGTTATGAAATGATTGAAAACATATGAGAAAATACAATACTCTGAATGCGATCCGTTGGGTCACAACGAATTGATTGCCACACGAAAAGCCAATCAAATTCTGTGTATCACCTGCTCTTTCAATGCTGTTTAAGATCTGTTTTGAATACATATTTGTAATAATCATACAAATTATGATTTATTTGTTTAATCGACACAACACTCGCCATTCAATTCTCGTAACAATATTCACGATTACCTTTAATTTGAGTCTCAAGTGAATCGGCTGTGAACTGAATAGTTTGAAGCCAACCGTTAAATGTTTGTACGATTTGTTTGCTTCTGTATTCACAGTCGATGTAATCAAATAAAACATTGAAAGCGAGAATAAAGATCCAAATTCTAAGACAATAAATGCCACCAAAACAGGGAAATTATTTTTCTCAACCATTTGCTGAAAACATAACACATATATGGGAATATAGATATAACTGAATATTAAAATATATGTCTTCCAAAATTTATTATAATTGATTATATCGTTGAATAGTTTATTGTATTTGATGCATATTTCTCTAGTTAATAATCTTGTTTCATTTTTGGCAATTGACTTATTAAACAAACAAATTTTGGTTTTAATAAAATAGCAAACTATAATAAAGTATTGACACGAATAATACATAATAGAAAGTGATGTAAACACGAATATAATGAATAGAAAATCGGTCATAATTAATAAACAATTTATTAAAATAGTTTGACTTTTATTAGTGATTAGAAATTGAAGTCGAGCTCCTATAGCCAATATTGTGACACTTAATAGACACATATTCCTGGAAATGACAATCACTAAACATATTTTGCGAGTTTTCACTAATAAATTCTTGATTCTTGGTGAATCTTCTAAACACAACGATTCAAACGATTGCAATCCTTTAATACATTTGATTATTTCAAACCATTTATAATTTTTACTATGATTGAAATGATAAACAATACTTGTTGTCATTATAGCAAACATCATATCAATGAATGTATAGAATATAGGAATTCCCGGTACTATTGCTTTCACATGATAATAGAAAATAGGATTTTCTTCATTCTTATGCTTATAGATACCAATAATATTGATGAATATGTGTATGAATTGCCAAACAAAAATTAGATTACATTTGAAAAGTTGTACTAACTTTGATGAATACGTGTTCAAATAGTTGTTGTTATCAACTTTGTACGAAAGGCCGTATCTATAAAGTGGTAAATCTATATCTTTTATAAATGAATTCTCGTCTAATCCTTCATTCATTTTTGCATATGAATAATATTATATTATAATATTTTAATTCAGTAATTCATTCAGAATATATATACCGTATAAATTAATACCTCTACTCAGTATATGATACACAAGTAATCTAACATTAAATAATTTTAAGTGCAAATTGAGAGCTTAAGAACCACGGTAATGTAGTTCAATGTTTTAATATTTATTTGATTTAATTTATTATTATTTATAGACGCCTAGTACTCTAACTTAATGTTGATATTCTGTATAAGTTACAATATATTTATAATTAATTGTATATATTATTTAGTAAATAATTCCATCAAAACACGCAATTTTTGTCTCAAGAATAGAGGATTTTATTACAAAAAGTAACTTATATATATAATATTTGAGTACAAATGTATTTACAACAGATTTTTTACGAAAACAAATGATAAAATCTTCTCCAAAAATAAACTTTATTTCAAAAGATAAGTCACTTGAAAGGCATAAAAGTTTATATAAATTTTAGTACAAAAGACATAAACAATTTGAAAACTTATAACCAAAAATAAAAATAAAAAATCTTAAGTCAAGTACCAAATGATAACTAATATAAGGATAGGAATCAAGTAAAGCAATAATCATAAACTGGTCTCATATGATGTCAAAGGATATGTAATCCTCTTGTAGTCGATGGTTGTGCTGCGGAATTAGAAAAGACAACAATAGATGACCTTAAGATACAAAGAAT